CTCACAAATGGACTACTATAATGTGCTCTTCGTGGGTCTGCCCTTGAAGCGCCAGCTGGGACAAAATGCTGTGGCACAGGCAATTATGTGTGCCTCTAGCAGGACATACGTTACACCTCTGCTCCGTGAGCTACATTGGTTTCCAGTTTGCTTCGGGGTCCAATTCAAGATGTTGGTTTTGACCTGTAAAGCCCTACATGCAGTGGTGGGATTCAAATAAATTAACAACCGGTTCTCTGTCCTAATGGGTAGGTGTGGCTGGGTGGTCATGTGACTGGGTGGTCATGGTCAACTCAATGTCACTCATGTCGAGGGGGCGCTTCGTCTCACCTAGCCTCTCATGAACGTGGGGATGCTGCAATGTAACAAGGCTTAACCCAGAGGCAGTTTCGGAAAACACTTAAGCAGGCTAGAAACAACACACACAGGGACACTGGAACGCCTCCTTCCTGCCTTCCTGACAGGATTAACCTGTAAGGTGGGAAAAACAAAAGGCTGTTGGAAGGAGATTTCTTCCAACAGCCAGTTTGCCGAGCTGCTCGACAGTTAACTACTGGTTTGCACGAACCGGTGCGAACCAGCTGAATCCCACCACTGCCTACATGGGGACTGGTTATCTGAAGAACCATCTCTTCCCAGTTACATCAGTCCATCCCATCAGGTCCAGCAGGAAAGACATGCTGAGGGACCTATCTAAAAAATTACATCTGGCAGGACTTGGGAGCTGTAGTAGCACCTCCTTATCGGAATATCATCTTCTCTGAGATGAGATTAGCCCCAGCTCTTATGTCCTCCCCCAAAATTCTCAAAACATGTTTTTTCCCCCAATCAGGCCCATAGATCTCGATAGCAGAGAGTCCATGCCGTAACTACAACACATGCAACATTCTGATCTTGACTCTCTTGACATTCTTGATTTTAATAATTCATTTGTTTTAATTGGTTTTATAATATATGTAAATAATTGGTTCTACTGTAGGCTGCTCAGAATTACCTTCTGTAAGATGACGGTTATATGAATTTGATTCAGGGGTGAAATGCTCCCGATTCGGACCGGATCACTGGATCCGATAGTGATGGTGGCGGGTGGTTCGGAGAACCGGTAGCAAAAATCCCTGCGCCCCCCCCCCCCAATGCCCAGCTGAGCCACGCGATCAACAGACGCTGTTTTTTTTTACTTTAAAAAGCATTTTTTCTACAACCTCTTCAGCCAAAGAGGTTGTAGAAAAAAAATGCCATTAAAAGCCTCTGACGATCCCAGCTGAGTTGCCTATCGTCAGAGGCTTCTAAAAGCATTTTTTTCTGCAACCTCTTAAGGTTGTAGAAAAAATGCTTTTAAAAGTTAAAAAAAAAGTTGGCCACACCCACCCAGTCACATTACCCCCCCAACCAATCCACGCCCACAGAACCGGTAGTAACAAATTTTAGATTTCACCCCTGATTTGATTAAATAAAAAAAAATTACCTTTTTTTTTTGTGTGTGTGTGATTCTAGAACTTTATGCAGTGATGCCTCTGAACTTTTTTGGTCAGTATATCATATCATAGAGGCCATTAATTTTCAAATAAGATTATACTATCAGTTAGTGCCCAAATAATTAGCACAAGTTAATTATAGCTACTTTGTGGTTTATGCTTTAAAGAACAAGCATGTTATTTACAGGGACTGTAATGGCATTCCAGATATGGCCACCCAGTGAGATGTGATCAGCATACATTGTTGTTACAGCGGCAGAAAACCCTGTAAATTCTTGCAGCAGATATTCAATGTTTACTCTGCAAAAGCAGCAGGAGCCATCATAAAAATATCTGCTAGTTAGTTTAATCATGATTAACATTCTTAGACAATGAAATCCCCTCTGAGCGTTGAAAGTTCATAGCAAAGAGAGTATACAACAACAAATGCAGGTTGCAATCCTCCTTCCTACACAGAAAGTACATTTAAATTTTATGGGAATTATTTCTAAAGAGGCATATGAAATCATATATATTAGGGAAATACGTGGAAAGTTATGGAAAGTATGGAAATATGTAATAGAGTTGTTGCATTGAAATAATGTACTAGGAGAGTTGATGCATTTGAGATATGTTCAAATTACATGTATTAGGGAAATATATTGTGAAAAAGTCAGTCAGTATTTCTGATTGAAAGAAAGTGATTGGTAGTTAGAAATTTCAAAATTGAAGAGATCAGGACAAGTTCCCCAGAGTAAATCTTCAGACCGGTTTGACATCTGCTATAGAACTTATTTAGTCAGACATTAGCTACTAAGATGGCTTCCAACACAGGAAGTGTAAGAAGTGTTATATCAGAATATATTTTATTCTTTATACTATTTCCATCTTCCCTTAAAACATTAACAGAATCCACAATGGAGTGAGAATCAGCATCTCCACTAGATAATTGACAGTTAAACTGAAACTAAGTTAATCAAGGAAAGATAGCAAACAGAAGAAAATTGTTGACTCAAACTTCCTCAAAATAAGTTACTCAGACCTAATCCACATATCAAAGGATAAGGTCTGTAAACACAAATAGAATTAATTAAATTAAGTCTCTCAGTGGAACTGCATGTTCGCAAGAATAAGCATCACAGATGATATACCTACACGCACACACGCACACACCTCAAGTGTCACCCTGCAATCAGCACATAAACCAGGGGTCAGCAACCTGCGGCTCTGGAGCCGCATGTGGCTCTTTCACCCCTCTGCTGCGGCTCCCTGTCACTCAAAATACGCATCACAGCCGCCAATTTGCGACACCCACCGGCACGAGATTTATTGAGCTTTTCAACTCCCAGTAGGCCAACCATGAATAAATCCAAGAAAAAAAAAGTTTCAGAAGAAAACAGAACATTTAATTCAACTACATATGCTAATTTTGTGTCTGCTCAAGAAATAGTCAGGCACGGGAAGAGTTTTGTGGCTCCTGGTGTTTTCTTTTCTGTGGGAAATGGGTCCAAATGGCTCTTTGAGTGTTTAAGGTTGCAAACCCCTGACACAGACATTTCCACACTGGGACAAGCTCCTCTATAAAAATATGTCGTTGTAGCCGCCCCTAAAGACAAACTCTTTGCTTTTAGGAATAAATGTTTCTTCATTTCTCACAGCTGTCTGGATCTCATTTTTATTTATTCTTGCACAATCCCGGCTTGAGTTGGAACCCCAAATTAGTCTTCTGACAGGAGGAATATTTGAGCGCATGCTCAGGTAGGCCTTGTCAGAACTTGGAATGTTTAGATATGCAAATAGGACATTAATCAGAGAAAGGACATTGAACAACAGAATGGTGATAATGAAGACTGACCTTCAGGGTTTATTCAAAGGTTCTTTTCGTTACGTCTGATTCAAGGGGGAAAGGACTTTATCTCTCTGTGAGAAATGCCACAATCTTCACCAATACATCACATGATTTATGACTTTTCAATTTAAGGTCCTTCACTTATTATCTCAGTTCATGTTGCAAACAGGGTTGGGCAACTTTTTCAGATCAGCAATGGCCCTGCCAAAAATGACTGCTGAAATCTCACAGACCCCTTCTCTTATCTGTTCTTTTCAAGAATGCAAAAACGTGTAATTTTCACTTCAGATCTCTGTTAAAAAAAACCCCGAATCTTAAGAAAATTAAGCCAATGTTTACATTAAGAATGTTTACAATTTAAACTGTTTTATAGACGGTACTTTGGCAACACCTCGCTTGTAACAAACAACCTCCTAAAATATGCCATGCTGCAGGGGTGGAAACTGAGAGAATTGGTGAAGTTATAAAACATGATTTATTAAAGCACAGCATCTGTCACTGGGGGCGTCCATGGGGGTAAAAAAAAATCAATATGGCCCTTGCGCAGAGCAATCACAGCACCTGCCTTTTGTGTGTGTGTCAATGTCACATGCACACACAAAGGGGTGGGACTTCAAGTGCACAATTGCAACTATCTCTTCTCAACTTTTTGAGTCCCTCCCTGTAGACACTGCTGTCCATCACCCTTTATTGCTGACTGGCTGGTAACCCAACACCTGGGTATTTATAGACATCAAAGCCTTTGTCTGACAGGGAGCCATTGAGAGGGGCCTTTCTTCCCCCTACTCCCATGACCATCATCCCTGCCCTCTCCCTTCCCCCTACCATGCTCTCCTCTTTCCCGCCCTGTCTACGATCCTGGCACTTTGCCCCAAATCCATCAGGCGCTTCCCCATTGCTCCACTGGAAGAAGAATGTCACAGCTGCCTTTCCAGATGAAGCTGCGAAGGAACTGACATCACAAACAATTGCTGCTATAGTACGCTGCACTCACTCTCCTTAACAGCCCAGGTGTTCCAGAGTTATGCTGGAACACACACAGACACACACACACACACACCAGGGGTGTCTTACCCCCCACAGTATTTGTTTCCAGATAGTAAGTCATCCGTGTACCAAGTTTGGTTGAAATTGCTCAAGGTGTTCCAGAGTTATGCTGGAACATACATATATACATCCCTTTTTATATAGATAGATCCTGCTGGTTCCTGAAAGCTTTAGTTCCTTTATTGTCGGAATGAGTGCAGATTCTGTATCATTGCCTCAGAAAATTGTTGACTTAGACAGAAACTGATAAAAAGTTGGGTTAAGGAATACTGGTTGAAACACTGCTGTGTGATTCACTCTGCTCACCCATTTTCATATAATTACTGATCTCTCTCACATATTTTAAAATTTCTTTCATTTGGATAGTTATTTTTCTTCAATAGTATATGATCTGGGATGGAAAAAAATATAGTTTATTTGTCATCATTATCTTAAAATACCTTCCTCTATACCAGGGGTCCCCAACCCCCGGACCATGGCCCACTTCTGGGCCATGGCCTGTTTGGAACTGGGTCACATGCACACAGTTCAACTTGCATGAGTGATGGGCTGGTGTGTATGCCTGGTTTCTCTCTCCCCCCTCCCCCCCCAGCTGTGTTGCCAAGCCACAAAGATTGGTGACCTCTGCTCTGTATGATATTCATGCATACCTTGGTGGACAATCTTTTTCAATGCATTTTTTCTGTTTTGCCTTGGGTTGTGTTTCTGGGTCACAAAACAGGTTTTTCACCATACTCTTCCCCTTTTTCACACAATGGGCAATCTGTCGCTGAAACCCTACAAGAAAAATGAAAAAAAAAAGGAAGTTCATCTTTAGATGTATCTTTAAGAAGATAAACATTTTGATTCATGGAGTAGCTCATATTAGACTTTATCACTGCTAAGAATCTGCTGAGTACACAGTTTTTTGCAGGAGAACATCCTGCCTGCCATTAACGCTACCGGCCATCACCAAATGTTCAAAATTGCCAATAAAAGCTGGCAGATGCTAATCTCTGCTGTCTACAAAATACAGACAGTAGATATTGGCATCTGCCAGTTTTTATTCTTTTTATTTATATTTTTTTGAATGTCAAACTCCAGTGGACTTTACCTATATCATTGCAGAATGTGTGTGTCCCAGAGCATTTTAAAGAATAGAATAACAGAGTTGGAAAGGACTTTGGAAAGTCCAAAGGAGACCCTATACCATTCTGGACAAATGGCTGTCCAATCTCTTCTTAAAAACCTCCAATGTTGGAGCACCTAATTGTTCTCTCAGGAAATTTCTCCTTACTTCTAGATAGGTTCTCTCCTTGATTAGTTTCTGTCCATTGCTTTTTGTTCTGCTTTTTGGTGCTTTGGAGAATAGGTTGGCTCCCTCTTCTTTGTGGCAGCTCCTCAAATATTGGAACACTGCTCTTATGTCACCCCTGTAATGGTAGTTAATACTATAGTTTGGTATTCCAGCTAAAAAACTCATTCTACTACTAATATGTCCCTATGTCATCCACATTATGGATTTTTCATTCAAATAGGAGAAGTTGCCAATATGAAAGGATCAGTGAGATGCTCTACTATGACTTCCCCCCCACAAATGATAGAGTGTTGGAACGCCCTGCTGTTGAGAAGTCCATGTAGGCGCCTTTCTGCTAAAATCAGCCTTGGTTATATCTCAATACGGTAACTACAGTTTTGTCCTTTGTTTATACTCGTGCATTTGTTTCTGAAGGTTCCTGAATAAGGTCAAAGAGACATGAAAAGAAAAATGAAAGTAGGAGAGGAAACAGAAGAACATAAACAAGTTGCCTTATAGATGCGTGGGACTTTAGTTCCTCAAAATACTTCGCTAGCCATGTTGACTGGAAAAATGCAGAACCAAAGTACAACTCAATTTAGTCATCAGATTAGGCAAACCCACATTGACCCTCTTGGAATTTAACTTTACATTAATCAGTTTTCTGCATCTGTAAACTAATGACAATAGATATACGGTAAATATTAGAGGCACTTTTATCTCCTTTCTTATCTAAAGTATTTATGTACTCTTTGTACAACAGGCCTGCTGTTGATTAGATTCATAATTTCGGTGCTTACAAATCCTTCTTCTTTCCTTCAGTTCAGTTCAAACCAGACCAGTACATAGAAATTGTTTTCAACAGGCTGAGGTGGTGAGGTAAATTGATAATAAGAATTACTCAAGAAGAATGGATAATTATCATAAATTAACTGACAAGTTTGAAATTCCCTTTCTACCTTAATAATTCCACAGAAGCAACTAGGGGTCACCTCCAGCAATTACTTGGTAAGTTATTATTAGTTTGAACAGAGCTGATATAAAGAAGTCTATGTTTTGTTTTGTTTTTAAATGGGAAAAGATTGTTAATTGCACAGTGTGATTTCTGCATTAAATTAGGGCAACCCCCCCCCCACTGCTTTCATTACTTGGAATGGGAAAAATGCCATTGTTTGCCTGAGGTTTAACTAATTAATGATTAGTAGACACACAAAGTAGTTTTCGGTATGCTGATTTTATTGGTGGCCTTTCAAAGGGCATATAAATTAACTATTAATAAAATCACCAGTCTGAGGCAATTTACGTATACCCAAGTCGGTACATTGTTAGAACAATGAATGAGGAGACCAAAGCAGATGATGAGAGAGAGGAAAGGGACTTGGAAAATTGTGCTTTCTTACCATTGCCACAAGTTACACTGCAACTTGTCCACTTTCCATATTTCCAAATGTATTCAGGCTCCTCCACTTCATTTTCCAAGCTTGAGCTTTTGCGGACAGTGTATTCATATTTTATTCCAGGGTTGTTTTCTTGAAAAAGGAGCTGAACAACATTTATTGTACATTTCAATCACAAAATATCAAACCAGAATACTCTCTACTCTTCTCTGTTTTTAGGACTACCAGATTGGGGCTCCAAAGATCCAGTAGGCCAAGAGTTACGCCACCCATGACACATCACAATCAAGGAAGCAAGAACCATCCAGGCCTTAAAAAACTGCTCTGGTGTAAGAATTAAAGGTAATGGATTAAACTTGAAAACTGCAGGAGTCACTGCAGTCCTCTACCAGTTTGGTAGAAATAATAAATACATATGCCCATTGATGAAATCTCTTTGAACATTTTTAATCTCTTCCCACCATGCTTCTTGCATGCTGGTATGAACTGTAGATATATTATAGAGTTATCTGCAGAGTATATTAAAAATGCCAAGCTGGTGGCCACAGCACTGTGATTGAAGCTCCAGCTATTTTTTAATGCACACCACTTCAGTCCAGTGGTGAAATTCAGTTTTTTTTTACTACCGGTTCTCTGGGCGTGGCTTGGTGGGCATGGTGTGGCTTGGTGGGAGTGGCAGGGGAAGGATACTGCAAAATCTCCATTTCCACCCCACTCCAAGGGAAGGATACTGCAAAATCCCCATTCCCTCCCCACTCCAGGGGAAGAATATTGCAAAATCCCCATTCCCTCCCCACTCCAGGGGAAGAATATTGCAAAATCCGCATTCCCCCCCACTCCAGGGGAAGGACACTGCAAAATCTCCATTCCCACCCCATTCCTGGGGAAGGGATATTGCAAAATTCCCATTCCCTCCCCTCTCCAAGGATGGGATACTGCAAAATCCCCATTCCTGCCCCACTCCAGGGGAAGGATACTGCAAAATCCCCATTCCCTCCACGCTCCAGGGATGGGATACTGCAAAATCCCCATTCCCACCCCACTCCAGGGGAAGGATACTGCAAAATCTCCATTCCCACCCCACTCCTGGGGAAAGGATATTGCAAAATCTCCATTTCCACCCGAGTCTGGGACCAGCCAGAGGTGGTATTTGCCGGTTCTCCGAACTACTCCCGCTACTGGTTCCCCAGAACCTGTCAGAACCTGCTGGATTTCACCCCTGCTTCAGTCTCATTGTCATGGCTACCATCTTGACTAGTGTAGATGTAAATTGCTAACAATTTCCTTTCCTGTCTGTGGATTGTGTCTAGAGTTCCTCCTATCTTCTTCCCAGCCTCCTCACCATCTCTGGCAACAAGGTAGAATGACAGTTTTCTAATTTCTTTGCTTCCATTTATTTTTGCCTCCCTCCCAGATCTGGCAGCTGTAATATTTTGATGTGTTCAGTCAAAGAGATGGGAAACCTACAATCCTTTCCCTAAGGCCCCGGGAATGATAATCTAATTAAATCTGCCAGCCATATGCTCTACAGCTGCAAAATCTTCTTCTTGTCGTTGTTGTTTTCCAAATAAGAAAAAGGTGATCAATAAATACATCTAGGGCCGTGATGGCAAACCTATGGCATGCGTGCCACAGCTGGCACAGAGAGCCCTCTCTGCAGGCACGCCAGCTGTCGCCCCAGCCCAGTTCCACCACGCATGTGCGCGCGCCTCCCACCAGCCTGCTGGTCTTTTGGTCTCTGCCACGCATGCGTGGATGGATGGGCGCATGCAGGGGATGCACACACACATGGGCATGGTGCATGCATGGGGGGGTGCAGGTTGGTGCAGGAGTAGCCCAAAACGGGGTGCAGGGGAGCCTCGTGCCCCACCCCCGCAGCCCATTTTGGCTTCCAGGTTGGGCCTACAAAGTCTCCTGCACCAACCTGGAAGCCAAAATGGGGCGCGGGGGGGGGCGCATGCAGACCCATGCACAGGGTGCATATGCAGGTATGCTCACATTGCATTTTGGGGGTTTGGGCACATGCTTGGGCACTCAGCACGAAAAAGGTTAACCATCACTGATCTAGGGCAGTCACAGTTACATGACAGAATCAAATCTTTGGCTCTGGTGGTAGATTGAGAAGAATGACAGATTAGTAGGAGTAGACTGAGACAATCTAACCAGAAATTGACTAGGATTGTTTTCTAGAAAACCTTCTCAGCCCACATGTCTAGTCAAGGGGTGGGTCTTTACAATCTGTGGACTTCAGATCTCATGCTCAGAAACTCTGGGAGTTGAAGTCAACAGGTCATAAACAGCTGATAGTTGTCCACCCTAGTCTAGTCTAAGGAGCAGTTAAGGTATTATGGGTGGATAATTTTTGCTAAGTCCCCAACGAAGAGAAAGCCTGATGCACCTTAATGGATCCAACGTGTTTATTTGCAGCAGCAAAAGCATGTGACATGAGAAAGGTTACAAATGTTGACCATTCCCTTTCTGTACTACATTCACAGTCTGCATCACACCCATCACATGACACGCTGGTATACCTGCAGCCACAAGGATTCGTTTGTGGGCCCAGAAGCAGTGAGATTTTCCAAATCCCCTTTTCTTTCATACTGAAATATTGTTCCCGCCACTTTGTAATTTCCATTCCATTGAATAATAAACCCTCCGTTGAGATAATACTTCTGAGGGTCTTCGCTGCGAAGCGCAAGGAAATTGCCTGCTTCTGACACTTCGACCACTTTGATGTGCCTTGCGCCTTTGGGAATCAGGCCAATATCAACGTAACCTATGTGAGGAAGACAAAATGGATTTAAAAACATCTCCAGGTATTCTTGAAGCCCAATGGACATCATCGAGTGGTCCATAATGTTGGGACTTGTAAGGTCCAAAAGACAATAAATAGCCTACCTTGGCTTAGAACAGAGGTGAGCAATATTGATTCTAGCATTTTTAGTCCCATTTAGCAGTCCAGGATGTTTTTAACATATTAAAATATTAATTTTATTAATGAAATTTAATTGAAGAAACTCTTCACATCTTCTTTGTAATGGATGTATGTACACCTCTATGTAGATTTTTGGCCCAGAAATGTCTAACACATACATTAAAGGTCCTTCAAGTTTACCTTACAGGCAGTCATCCATTTGTTTAAGAACCATTTGAAGTTACAACAGCACTGAAAAAAGGTAATTTACAAGCAGTCCTCACACTTATGCCCATCACAGCATCCCTGTGATCAAAATTCAGACACTTGACCACTGACATGTATTTATGAAGGTTGCAGTGTCCTGGGATTGTGTGATCTCCATTTGTGACCTGGGCTTCTGACAAGCAAGGTAAATGGAGCAAGTTGGATTTGTTTAAAGACTGCAGCGATATGCTTAACAACCATGGCAAAAAATTATCATAAAATTGGGCTGCATTGCTTAGTGAAGAAGGTTCCAGTCCAAACTATCATCCTAAATTGAGGACTATCAGTACAGAGTTTTATAGAACAATACTGGATATATTTCATTTCAAAACAGCTGTAAACCCACAGATAAAAGGTAATGGCGAGAACGACAAACTGAAGCTACATAACTTTTCTTTTTCCTTTTCCATAAGCACCAAACTAAAGTCTTACATAACTGTCAACAAAAGTGCATATAGTCAAGGCTATGGTTTTCCCAGTTGCAACGTATGGCTGTGAAAGTTGGACCATAAGAAAGGCTGAGCACCAAAGAATTGAGGCCTTTGAACTATGGTGCTGGAGAAGATTCCTGCGAGTCCCTTGGACTGCAAGGCGATCAAACTGGTCAGTCCTAGAGGAGATCAACCCTGACTGCTCTTTAGAAGGCCAGATCCTGAAGATGAAACTCAAATACTTTGGCCACCTAATGAGAAGGAAGGACTCACTGAAGAAGAGCCTAATGCTGGGAAAGATTGAGGGCAAAAGAAGGGAACAACAAAGAAAGAGATGGCTGGATGGAGTCACTGAAGCAGCAGGTGTGAACTTAAATGGACTCTGGGGGATGGTAGAGGACAGGAAGGCCTGGAGGAACGCTGTCCATGGGGTTGCAATGGGTCAGACACGACTTCGCAACTAACAACAACAATAAACTTCGGAATAGTTAAACATTGGTGTTCGGTTATGGATAAGTATTCTCAGTGATGGGATTCAGCCAGTTCGCACCACTTCGGGAGAACCAGTTGTTAACTTTCTGAGCAGTTTGGTGAACTGGTTGTTGGAAGAAATAATTAAGGCAGAGAACCAGTTGTTAAATTATTTGAATCCCACCACTGAGTATTCTCCATGCTCTTTCCCCCAAAATACCTTGTAGCAAAGCTTCTGTGCTTCCCTCATTTTCTCAAGGAGAAATTGATAGCTTTCATCAGACAGAAAAGAAACAATAGCTGAAAATATGGATAATTTCCCCAGCTGTACAACAAATTTCAGCTGGCATTCTGGATAAAGCTGCGATTCCTATTCATATCATCAAATGAAAACCATCCTATTTAATAGGGCTTGGATGAATAAGCCTAAAGAAAGGGTTGTTGGTACATTTTGACAATGCTTACAAAGATGACGGCAGCTAGATTAGTGATGGCTAAATATTAGGGACGAAATTGGGATATTCAAAGAAATGAGTGATATAATGAAATTTGGAGTATGGCAACAAATGATAAATTAACAACAGAAATTAAATTTATTTTTTTCCATATTTTTTTTTATTATTAACATATATAAAAAAAGAAATTAACATACATAACATACATGAATCATAATATATAATATATAGCAATATACAGAATACAAACAAACAACAAGTGCTCCCCCACCCCTCGGGATCATTCCTGCTTCCAGAATCTTAAAGTTTCTTTTTTTTTTTTTTTTTTATTGCAAAAGTTTTACAATTACATTTTCACCCCTTTTTTTTCACCCCCCCACCTCCCTCCCCAAACTTCCCGTCCTCCCTAACCCTCCCTAACCCTCCCCCCCCCAGACTTCCCTATTATATACTCATAACTAATAACACTGATATATATACCTGAACCCATCCCTCCCCCTACATAATTTTCCCTCTTTGTCTCTTTATATTAAAATATTTCTAATACATTGTTTTCAAATAAAAGCTATTTGATACTTTCTAATTTGATATTTGTTCTGAACATATTCTATCCACCTTTTCCATTCCCATTCATAAGTCTCTTGTGAACAATCTTTTAAATATGCTGAAATCTTCGCCATCTCTGCAAAACTGGCCATCTTCGAAGTCCATTCCTCGATAGTAGGCAAAGCTTCATTCTTCCAATATTTACCTATCAACAATCTTGCTGCTGTTATCATATACAATATTAATTTTGTTTCATCCCGTGTAAAACCCTTAACTATACCCAATAAAAACAATTGTGGAGAAAATTGAATTTTTTTCTTCAAAACATTCTGCATGACCCACCATATTTTTATCCAAAAAGCCTTAACTTTCCTACAGGTCCACCAAACATGATAATACGTAGCATCCAAACATTCACATCTCCAACATTTTGGCTGAACATTAGGGTACATACATGACAACTTTTTAGGATCTAGATGCCATCTATAAAACATTTTATAAAAATTTTCCCTCAAATTCTGCGACTGTGTAAATTTAACATTCTGAACCCAAATTTTTTCCCATGTTTCCAACATCACTGGTTCTTCAAAATTTTGTGCCCACTTAATCATACAATCTTTAACTAATTCCGTTTCTGAATCCCTTTCTAGCAAAACATTGTAAAGCCTTTTAATATGCATTGGACCTTTCTCTCTTATATGTCTAACCAATTCTTCCTCATGCAACATAATACCAGTTTTTTGGTCCTCTTTCCATCTCAGTTGTAATTGATTATATTGTAACCAGGTTAAATTAATCCCTTCGTCCAACAGTGTCTGCAATGTCTTCAACTGCCATCTGCCCGCATCTGTAAAAAGAACCTCTTTGTATAAAAACCCCCCGAGTGACATTATATTTGTATTCCACAAGGTATGACCAAGATCCAGCCATAGCGGTATTTTATAATCCCATTTGAGTCGGTGCTTCTTCCAAACTCTCATCAAAGAGTCTCTAAGTATATGACTTTTAAATACTTTATCAACTTTGTCATCATAAAATAGGTAAGCATGCCATCCAAATTCAAGATCAAAACTTTCTGCATTCAATATTCCAGCCTTTTTACTTCCAAACCAATCACTTGTTAAAGTTAAAGCTGCTGCATCATAATATAACTGTAGGTTTGGAAGTTTAAGGCCTCCTCTTTCTGGAACATCTTGCATAATTTTCAATTTCACTCTCGGCTTTTTCTCGTTCCAGACAAACTTATTAAGTCCAGTTTGCCAAACTTTCAGTTGTTTATCACTTTTAAGCACCGGAATCATTTGAAACAAAAACAGAAATCTTGGCAAAATGTTCATCTTAACTGCTGCTATTCTTCCAAGTAAAGACAGTTGCAGCTTTTTCCAAGTCTCCATGTCTTTCTGAACCTCTCGCCACAACACCTCATAGTTATTTTGAAACAATTTCATGTTTGATTCTGCAACCTGAACTCCAAGATATTTTACCTTAGGTACAATTTCAAAACCTGCCCTCCTTTCAAACTCATATTTACGATCTTGTGTCATATTTTTGACTATCATTTTAGTCTTTTTTGAGTTCACTCTGAAACCTGAAACTCTACCATAGTCTTGTATAATGTCGTTCATCAAGATTATTGATTCCATTGGTTGTGATAGGGTAACCACCAGATCATCTGCAAATGCCTTTACTCTATAATCCTCTTGCCTTATCATTATGCCTTTCAAAATTTTTGAGTCCCATATTGTATTTAGCAAGACTTCCAATGTTAAAATAAATAAAAGTGGGGACAACGGACATCCCTGTCTTGTTCCTTTTTCAATTTTAAACTCTGTCGTCAAACTTCCATTAATAATAATCTGTGCTTTTTGCTCTTGATAAATTGCTGAAATTGCCTGTGTAAACTGGTCCCCAAAGCCCATCTTTTTTAAAGTCTTTAGTAGAAAATTCCAATCCACTCTATCAAAGGCCTTCTCCGCATCCAAAAAGACCAGCACTGCAGAAATCTGTTTATTCTTATCAAGATATTCCAATAAGTCTATTACTTGCCTTACATTGTCCTTCATATATCTACCCTCAATAAATCCCGCTTGGTCCTCATGAATCACCTTTTGGATTACTGGCATCAACCTGTTGGCTAATACCTTCGCGTAAATTTTATAGTCTGTATTCAAAAGAGATATTGGTCTGTAGTTCTCTGGTTTTTTAGGACCAACTTGTTCTTTTGGTATCAAAGATATATAAGCAGTTGTCCAGGATGGGGGTATTTTACCCCCTTGTTGAATATTGCAAAATAAATCTCTAAGTTGTCCCACCATTTCAGCTTGTAAAGTTTTATAATACACTGCAGTCAAACCATCCATGCCAGGAGCTTTGGCTGTTTTTAGCTGTTTAATTGCTGCTGTTATCTCCTCCTCTGTTATAGGATAATTCATTCTTTCCTTTTGTTGATCAGTAATTTTTATAACTCTCTTATCCTTTAAATATTTTTCTATAAGTCCATTCTGCACCTCATCTTTGGCATATAGTTTAGTGTAATAATCCACAAAAGCTTCTTTAATTAGTTTTTGTTGAAAAATTTCTTTCCCTCCAATATCAATACTATCAATAGTCCGTATACTTTGTTTTTTCCTCAATGTGTAAGCCAACCATCTGCCCGGTTTATTAGCATTGCAAAATGTATTATGCTTCGCGT